ATTATTCGTATTTCGACTTCTGACTTTTAGATTTTTCAACTTTGTGATTTGTAAAACTTTTTTATCTTTCGAGTTATGCATTTTTCGGTTTTTTAAACTTTACAGTTTTTCAATTTTTGGATTTTTTGGTTTCTCGGTTTACGGAGATTTGGATTTTTCGATGTATCTATTTTTTTTAATTTTTAAGTTTTTCAATTACTAACTTCTCGATTTTTCGACTTTTTGACTTCTCAATTTCTCGATCTTTTACGTTTCGATTTCTCGATGTTTCAAAGTCTCGATGTCTTGTTTGTTTGATTTTCCGTTTTTTATTTTTCAGTTTTTCAATTTTCCAATTAAGTTTTCCATTTTTCGATTTTTCAGTTTTTTGATTTTTTTAATTTTCGGTTTTCCGACTTCGATTTCCCGATTTCTCAATTTTTTAGTGTTTCCGTTTGCTGATTTTTCAATTTTTCGATTTATTGATTTCTCAATTTTTCGATATGTGAGTTTTGGGATTTTTCAATACTTCGATTTTCTAAAATTTAGATTTTTGGATGTTTCAAATCAGTTTTTCAATCTTTAAAATCTTCAATTATTCATCGATATTTTAATTTTTCGATTTATGAAATTTTAGATTTTGTCGATTTCTCGATTTTTCTATTTGTCAATTTTTCGAATTTTAAAATTTTAGATTTTTCAGTTTTTTGACTGTTCTAAGTTTTTGGCGTTTCTAAGTTTTCGATTTCAGATTTCTCGGTTAACAATTTTTTCGCTTTATCGTTTTTTTTGTTTTCCTTTATCTGGACTTTTCGATGTTCGATATATCGTCTTTTCGATTTCTCGATTTCAGTTTTTCATACTCAATTGTTTGGATTTTTGAAATTTTCGATTTTTCGACTTTTCGATTTCTCGGTTTCCCAATTTTTTCCATTTAGCAATGTATCAATTTTTCAAAATATATCAATTGTGGAATTTTTCAATACATATTTCGATTTTAAATTTTGGGATTTTGGGATTTTTCGATTCTTTAATTTTTCAATTTTATAAATTAAATTTTTTGATTTCTCGATTTTTCAGTTCGATTTTCTATTTGTCAATTTTTCGAGAATTCAGTTTCGGAATTTTTTGGGTTTCTCGTTTGTTTGATTTTTCAGTTTTTTAATTTTTCAATTTTTTGATTTTTCAGGTTTTTGATTTTCATTTTTTTCATTTTTTCAATCGTCGATTTTTCGATTTCTCAGTTTTTCAATCTTTCAGTTTTGGAATTTTTGAATTCTTTAATTTTTTCAAATTTTAGATTTTTCAAATTTAAATGTTTCGATTTTTAGAGTTCGCAGTTTTACATTTTTCAATTTTGTGAAAATGATAAACAACAAACTTTACATTAGATGATTCTCTTAAATGTTCTGGATCATTAAAATTTTATCCTGAATCAGAATATCCCTCGTTAAAGAATCGGAACGTTTTTGATCGCAGATGGTATCCTTGAGTATCTCTCCCTGAAATAATGTGCAGATGTTCATTTTGCTTTACAAAAAATCCACGTCCGAACGAATCGAAAGATTCCATTTTCTGCTTCACGTATTACAAATCCACAGCAAAACCCCAACCAACCACGCGTTCCCGGTATTTACTAATTCGCACTTTCCTCCGTTAGCACTACCAAGCGTATCTTACTCTACCGATCGAAAACAAATTACTTTCAGTTGGCTGCTTCATTTGGTAATAAACCGCGGAATTTATTATGTCGTCTCACCAACTTGGAAGACCGGCAAGTGTGCGAGATCGGTATTAGATTAGTGAAAACATCTGTTGGCAGCGAACACGCCGGTTCTATCTTTTCCAAAAGGGTTAAAGATCCGAGATGCTGGTTAAGCCGACAAGACATTAATTTAGTCTGTGTTATTTCTCACTGTTTGGAGTAATCGTGTTTTTGGTTGATGGGATTTTCACTCGGGGAGCTTGTAGTCATTTTGTTACGCCGTTTTGGACGTGTCGACGTATTTTTGTACATTTGTGGTAATGGCGAAGGTGTGTCGGGGAAAAATACGTGGTTCTATAGATGAGGGTGCCATCATTGTGTAAGAATGTAACATCACGCCAGCAAGTACATGAAATAGGATATAATAAATTAATAATGTTAAAGTCTTACATGTTTTAAACAAAAGCACCACAACTTAGTTTCAATACGCTGAAGGTAAGCTGCGTCGGTGGGAATCGAACCACACGTCACCCGCTTGCCGGGCAGGTATCCTGACCACTAGACCACGTTTACCAACGTGTTAATAATAATAATAATAATAATAAATAATGTTTATTAGTAGGTACATATAACAAAAGTCGTTGTACAAGTCACAAATTCAATACAAGGCACATTACATACATATGGATTTTTATAACTTTAAAATCAAGTCAAAACATTGGATGGGGGCACAATTACTGAGGTAACACTGAGGAATTCATAATAATTGTAAAATGCGTTTTTGATGAGATAATCTGATATTTGTCTCTTAAATTGCCTTATACCAAGATTTTGAGTACTTTCTGATAATTTATTGTAAAATTTGACAGAGTAATAATTGAATGACTAGTTTCTTTTTAACCTTACAAAATTTGGAAGAAGTGCAGCGTTGTGACGTGTATTATACGAGTGAATATCTTTGTGTCTCATATGATTATTGATGTTAAGTTTTAAGATGTAGCAGTGAATTTAATATATATATTGACGGTAGGGTTAATATTCTTAAGGATGTAAAATATGAGCGGCAATCATCCCTATAACCTATGCCAGCAAGAATTCTTATTGCTCTTCTTTGGAGCCTAAATATGCGATTACAGATGCTGGCATGACCCCATGTTAGGATACAGTATCTTAGATGCGATTCACATAAAGCAAAATAAGCTGTTCTGAGCACTTGATATGTTACTTTATTTTTGAGACTCCTTAACACAAATAAATTTTTGCTAATTCTATTGGCCAGCTCGTCGCCGTGAACTTTCCAGGTTAGTTTTGCATCCAAATGTATCCCAAGGAATTGTGCTGAAGTGGTGAAATCGGGTGGAACATCGCTATTTTTTAAAGAAAATAACATAGTGGTAGTTTTATTTGCGTTCAAGCTGAGGTCGTTTTGTCTGAACCAATCCTCAGCCCTCGATTGCGTCTCCTCTCTTTGGACGCAGATAGTCTCCGTCGATGTTGCTTGGTTTATTAGGGTTGTATCGTCTGCATACAAGATAATTTTTGAGTCTATACTAGAAGATAGGTCGTTAATAAAAATAATGAATAAGAGGGGCCCCAGGATGGACCCTTGTGGCACACCTTTTCTGACAGGAAGACAATCGGATAATTGTTCCTTATATTTGACAACCTGGTGTCTATCTTCCAGTTATGATCTAATAAGTTGAATGCTAGACGGTACCAAGTTATAGGCTGTCAGTTTTTTGAGGAGAAGTTTATGCGAGACGCAGTCGAAGGCTTTGGACAGGTCCAGAAAAGACGCAACTGCAATTTTACGATCTTCAAAGCACTGAGATATAAAATTAACTAACTCCTGAACAGCATTACCAGTGGAACGGTTTCTCCTAAAACCATATTGTGAGTCAGAAAGTAAAGCATGTGATTCAAGATAAGTACAAAGTTGTTCAAATAGAATTTTCTCTAATATTTTGCCAAATATGGGAAGTAATGAGATAGGTCGATAATTAGATGGATTATTAGTATCACCCTTTTTGTATACTGGTATAGTGACCGCTGTTCTAAGACATTTGGGAAAGACGCAATATTTTATGCAAAAGTTAATAAGTTTTGCAAGTGGAGGTATCAGCAAGTCCTTTATACTTTTGACAATTTTCACATTAAGATTAAAGATATCAGAAGAATTACTATTTTTCAGGTTATCTATAGCTTCTCTCACTTTTATGTGTGACACTTCTTTAAAACTGAAACTAGGGCTATTAATCAATGAGTGAGTAGACTTACTTGCTATATCACAGAGTTCAATATCACAGTCATTATTGCTATGCGTTCCCAACTTTGAAATTTCATTTATAAAATAGTTGTTAAAATCGTCACAGGTCATATCACAGCTTAATTTTTGACTATTAACACTTTTATTGCGAGTTTCGTTGATAATTTTCCACATAGCCTCGACTTTATTGCAGTAGAGATGAATTTTTCATTGCAAAGCATTTTCTTTTCATTTATTTTGTCACGATATACTTTCCTAAACGAGTTTTTTGCTGACTTGGTTTGTTCACTCCCAATTAGATTATTTATTTCACATAAATGTTGTAATGTTTCCCGCATTTGAATTAATTCACTATCAAACCACTTTACAGTTTTGTTGTTGTTAGGTTGACGCTTGACTACTTTTAGAGGGAAGGCTTGCCCTACATGACCTAATATTAGATTTACAAATTTTGTGAACAAGTCTCGTCAACTGAATTATTACTGCATAGCTTAATGAAGTCCCAGTTGATATTGGACACCGACTCGTACAATTTGAATTTACCAAGAGCAGTAATTGGCCTATGTTTAATAAGCTGTATTTTTTGTTTGTTTTTAGTAGACGAAATTAACACTTTAATTTTGATGCCTCTATGATCTGATAGGTGTAAATTCCATGGACTAATTTGAAAAAGTGCATGATCTAGATTTGTAAAAACGTTATCCAGACAGTTGTTATTTCTAGTTGGAAATTCGACTAAGTGAAAAAGCCCATAAGTTCTCATAAAATCTAATAAGCAGTCTTTTTTATGAGGTCTTCTTTGTCAAATTTTACATTAAAGTCACCAGTCAATATTATGTTGTTCTTTAATGTGTTAATTATACCAAAAACTTTTTCTAAAGTACTCAAAAATTTGTTCAGATCTCCAGAGGGTGATCTATAGACATTTATCACATAAATTTCTAGGTTATTCATATAAATTCCAGATATCTCACCGTGTTTCTCAATTGAGAGTTGTTCGAGATTTTGGAGACGAGTGCAAGAAACCTCAGCGTTCCTCATAATCATTGTGCCCCCATGTTTCGTTGAGTTTCTGGAAAAATAAGACTTACAAAATTATTGACACGTATTTGGTCAGCTTCTACTGCCATCAACCAATGTTCACAAAGGGTAAGGAGGGAGAAGTCATCGTCTGCTACTGCTGCCTCAAATTCCGCTAGTTTAGCCCTCAGTGATTGGATGTTGATTGACAGAATGTTCAAATAGCCTTCTACCTCTAAGGCAACGCGGTCTTCTTTAGTATCCGATGAAAAAAACGATTGACATAGCTGCCAGGAGGCCAGGTTTCAGGTTTCATAGCTACGTCTTGGTCTTTATGATCAATGGTCACTTTGAAGCTTGAATATAGGTCCGGATATCTTGACTGCAGCTTTTCAACTCCGAAAGTGCATATATTTGACATGCAGAGGTGATCTTCGATATCCTTTGTAGTCGTTGAAGGATTTAGTCGATACACGTGGATGAAGCTTCTTTGTGGGACTGCTTTGAGGGTACTATTATCCACCGAGCATCCAATTATCGGTTTGTTGGATTCCCTGCGATGTCTTTTTTTGCTTTTGACTTTATTCCAGTTATCGTCTTCATTCTGCAGTGTCTTATTATTGTCCAGGTTTTCGTTATCGTCCTGAACTGGCTCCTGGAGTTCGCTATGACCACGAAGTGTCTTCTTTACTTTCTTATCTTTATCTCCTTGATTTGGTGTTTTGACTTGATTAGATGGCGAGTCTTGCGTTTTTTTCTGTTGTTTATCGTTGGTGTTTTTGAGCGGGAGCAGCTTACTGTTTTTGACAATTTCATTAATTTCTTGTGATGTCGTTTCTGGATTATGATTATTGGAAATTCCTTCCTCCTGCTTAATTATGATGTTATTTAGCAAGGTTATTTGCTTGTGGAGTATGTCCAAGTTGGCACATAAACTTTTTATGTGCAAGTCTTTCTCCTTCAGCAGTTTTTTTAGATACTTATTTTCTACCTTTGCGGTGTCAGAATTCTCAATTGCAGAACTAAAGGATTCATCATCCAATTCGTTGTCGGGGTCATTAATTGAAGCAGCAACTTCTTCTTGGGCGATGCTGTTGGTCATTTTCTTCTCTGGCAATGTCGTCGGAGTCACCTTAGAACCACAGCACATAACCTCACCAGGAGCAATTTCCACAACATCTTTAAGATATTTAATGCACCCTGGATGAAAAACTGCATTGCACTGTACACATTTTGGGCCTTGCGTTGGAATATTGCCACACTTTTTGCACATTTTTGTAGCGTTCGAGTTACTTTTGAGCGCTCGCCATCTTGATTGATTGATTGATTGATTGATTGATTGATTGATTGATTATTGTACATTCAATTCCCGAATTCCTGTTTTTATCGCATTCATAATAATGTCATTTTAAAAAACTCCTCGGGTGATTTGTTTCATCATTACGCCGTTAGATTGGAACACCTCCAAGTCGTAGTAGCCTGAATTTTCTTGTAAATAACTGCGGGTTCGGTCTGCTGAAGAGTCGACACCCTTGGCGTGTGATCAATCGTTGCTTTTCACCTCCACATCTGTAGAACGAACGACCAAAACGACGAAGTCGACGTTTTCCCGTCGCCCTCGTTACTCAGCCCACAATCGGCTCCCAAAGCCCCATCCATCTCCGAATACCTTCGCGAATTTTTTGCTGTCGTCGCGTTTGCGACGTGGGCCGGACGCGCGATTTAATGCGAATAGACACGGTCGACGGCTTCTCGACGTCCAGCATGTGCGAATCGTAAAAATTTAGATTTACAACAGAACACGGAGCCACAAATTACTGTTACCGCTTCACCCACACGGAATCGGACTCTGTTTACCACCGAAACCTCTAAATTTTTTCCTAGACAACTCTATTAATCGCCCTCTTCTCCCTCGCGATTGCGTCCATTACTCATCCGATTGTGAGGTCCTGTCGCGCTCGTTTTCGTCCATTACGAAACGAATTTATCGCGCCCAACTTTGGCCTTTAATAGAGTTGTAACAGTCGCGGTTATTAATTATTTTAATTGGGTTTCTGTACACGGATAAAAGGCTATTTGTTACGGTGTTTTCGGCCGGGTTTGATACTGCCATATATCCGTATTATAAAATGGCTTTTTATTCGTGTCCCGTTTCGTAAATTACCAATTTACAAAACTGTTATTATGCTAATGAAGGCGGCGTGACGATTTTGTGTTATCTTAAGTTCAAAGGATTGTTTCCACCTGGAGATTTTACAGTGGAACTACTGTGATCTATTTTGTTTGTCTTTGTCGTATGTTCTTTCTTCATTAGTACTTGACAAAGAGTTTCGTTTTAAGTGAATTGTGTTTCTAATTATTAGCCTCGTTTTTTATTATAGCTGTGTCCTCAGAAAGTAGGTGTTAAGCTTATATGTTTAATTTTTTCTCGACGACTACGAACTTGAAAATGGTTGCTTTCAACAGAATGGGGCAACAGCTCATTGGACACGAGAAAATTTTAACTTTTTGCTCTTTCTGTCTATGGTCTTTTGTACAGAATTGACAATTTTGAGCAATTTCAGCAAAGAACTAGAGGTGGTTTTATTGCTTGTTATAAATTAAACTAATAAAAAAATCTGTTCAGGTATTTCAGCAGTTTCTACCGCTTTACATTTGGAGATCAAATCAAAAAATCAATCTTGCGTATTGAGAGGAAACAAGGTGGGAATATGTTTACAACGTGTAAATGACACTCTCGTGCACATAAAATGGATCATTATTTAGAACAATTCTAGATGTAATGCCATCGACTTTCATCAGATAATAAAACAATGACACGACTTGATTGTGAGTTTTTTTTAATAGTGGATTCATCAGAAAGGTTCAATTCAATACCGTTTCTTCTCTTCTTTCAATCTTTTGTTTCCAATTTTTTTTTTTTGTCTAAAAAGTTTGATTAAATAACAATTAAATTAGTTTGATAATTAAATTAGAAGATGTTGACAATAATCTTCCTTTTCTCTCATTTTCATCATGGTGCTGATGAATTCTTCAATTACAACCCAGCTTTTTTCGTCTCAGAGCATTATCTTCACACAATTGCTAGTACTTATTTTGATGCCCAGAGCGTCTTCTGCTACCTTCCTTCTCCTTCCATAGGTGGTCTGCCGTTTTGCAAATTCTGGAACTGCGTTATCCAGAAGTTCACTTTCCCATGTTTTCTATAATACCTCTCCCCTTTCCTTCTGGATCTCCTGGTACCGGTTCCACTTATCATTGAATGATCGACGTTCGCTTTCACCCTTTCCTTTAATCTTTCTTGATCTAATCTTTTCTAATATTAAGGATATAGAAATTAGCGAAGCTATGGATCTGTTATCGAATGTAAATTTTCATCATATTCCTTATATGTGGTCTGTATCTTGTATAGCAGATGCTCCCTTACTCTTGGAGAAGAATGTTTTTGATTTTGGTAATGGAGATTATCACTCACTTAATAATTTTTTGGCATCTGTGGACTGGACGTCTTGTTTCAGTAATAAAAATGTTGATACTAAAGCCTCGATATTCTATGACATTTTGTTTACAGGCATTAATTACTATATTCCAAAGAAAACGATTAAATCTGGGAGTTCTTATCCGATATGGTTTAACAGGGATCTTAAAAATTTGTGCTACCAGAAAAGGCTCGCTCATTTTAAATATAAATTGTCTGGCAAATTAGTAGATTATCTTAACTTCAAGTCGATTCGATCTCGCTGCAAGACCCTTAATGAAAATTTATATTCTTCGTACATTGCTCAAGTTGATGTTAGTGTTACATCTAACCCAAATTATTTTTGGAAATATATTCGTAATAAGAACAAGGATAATGGGATTCCTAATTACATGTCATTTAAAGATAAGAAAGCGGACAATGGAGCAGATATTTCCAATCTGTTTGCGGAATATTTTTCTACAGTCTATGTTACTGATCCCACAACAAATTTACAAAATAATAATTCACCTAATTTAAAAGTCTTTGATAGTGGATTAAAGGTAACATTATTGGATGTTTTTCAAAATGTTAGCAATCTTAAATCTTCTTATTCCTGTGGCCCCGACGGTGTTCCTATTGTTTGAATCATCCCTTATGGAATCCAAAGTTCCTGATGTTTGGAAGTGTAGTTATGTGTCTCCGATTTTTAAATCGGGAGCACGAACCAAAGTAGAAGACTATAGAGGGGTGAGCATCCAATCAGTAATCCCCAAAATTTTAGATTACATTATTGCGAAACAACTACAGTGGTCTTCTTCTTCGATTTTATCTACTCATCAAATGGGTTTTGTAAAGGTAAATCTTCTCTTACAAACTTATTGTCTGACTACGTGTTTCTTAATAATTCATTTCAAGTAAGGTCTCAAGTGGATTCCATTTACACCGACTTCGCAAAAGCCTTTGATAGGGTCAGTCATCACATTCTGATCTCTAAACTGAGTCAACTAGGGTTTAACAGTTCCACTGTAGATTGGTTGTTTTCGTTTTTATCGGGCAGATGTCAACAAGTTAGAATTGGCAATTTTATATCCCGCAGTTTTGAAGTTACTTCTGGTGTACCTCAGGGATCACACTGTGGTCCAATATTAGTTTTGCTGTTTGTCAATGATCTACAATTTTGTTTCAAATATTCTAATTTTTTACTTTACGCCGATGACTTGAAAATTTTTAAACTTATTAAATCTCCTCAGGATGCGTTGGAATTACAATCTGATTTAAATAGCTTATATAACTGGTGTGATCGGAATCAATTGTTTTTAAATACTGATAAATGTTATGTTATAACATTCTGTAAAGTAAAAAATTTATACCAACATACCTATAAAATAAATGACAGTGTCTTGAAGGTAGTAAATGAAATAAAAGACCTCGGTGTGGTGTTTGATTCAAAATTGTCTTTTAAATCTCATTACGATTATATTTTCAAAAAGTCAATGAACATGTTGGGTTTTGTATGGCGTCACTGTCACATGTTATCTACGTTCTCTTTAAAGACACTTTACTGTTCCCTCGTACGTTCGCATTTGGAATATTGTTCACCAATATGGTTTCCCTTTTATAAGACGGATAATGATTATTTGGAAAGAATTCAAAAGAAGTTTCTTAGATGTTTGGAGTTCCGAATGCATTGGCCCCACCATAAAGGCCAATACGAGATCATCACCAATTTTATAAACCTGCCTTCTTTGCATACAAGGAGGATACTGTCGGATGGTTGCCTTTTACATGGTGTCATAAATGCTCATATTGTAGGGGAAGGGGGCCTAAAGCGGGCATAGAGCCTAAAGCGGGCACTCTCTTTAGTTTTGGCGTTTCAAAAGATGGTGCGCCCTAACCGCCCGGACATAGTGCATCCCCCCCCGCATACTTTACATCAGTCGCCCGGGTCTCCTGCGAGTACCCAATTATGTGCTGTAATAAATAAATAATTTTCACATGGTTTTGAAAAATATTGCAAAGTGTGTCACATCTGTTTTTTCTATGTTTGTGATTTTTAAGCTAAAAATGAAATTCGTTAGTCAATTTGTGTTTATTCGGCTACCATAAGGTAGCAGTTAACTGCCACTTGTCGCATCATTTTGAGTGTAGATGTTGTTTGCAATTTTAATTGTCGAAATGGGCAAAGCGGGCAGGGCAAAGCGGGCACTTGTCCGGTTTGTCCTTCTAGTGTATTTACTAAATATCTATAGTTGTTTCGAAAAGAAGAACAAAGGCAATGTGGAGTCTGTGAAACAAATTATAAAAGAAGAACTTGCTGAAGATAAAACGAAGTCTAAGAAGTGAAAAAACCAAAAAGAAAAATACGAGATATATCGCTTTAAAAAAATTATATTTCGAATTTCCAAACTTCAGTCCAGGGGACCTTCATATTTATATTCATATCTAGTCTACAGTTTTTACAAAAAAACAAAATATAAAGTTGAGCAACTTTTACATCACACTTTAATCGGCACATTGATGCATTTTTTGACGAAGTGCTGAAGAGGTCTGCATTTTGAGATAGAAGGTCCTCTGGGGAAAAGTGTCAGCTTTCTTTTGATACCATTTATAATCCTAAAAAAATCCATGACTGAGGCAAATAACTCTCGAAAAGTCAAAATCTATTAAAATGAGCTTTCTTAACTTCTGGTTTGGTTGCAGACTTTAGTATTTCTAAAATGCAATTCCGGAAACCCCGACAATGTTTTCAATGTATTTAGTATAGAGCGAAACCGAACCAGACGCCAACCTTAACCATTGCCTGGTTTGCCCTAGCTGAATGTCCGCTTTAGG